TGGTGTTGATTATAGAGGTAATGGGGTCATGGATTCCAAGTTTAATTGACTTTGGTATTTCTTATCTGTACCACACATTAAGACACAACAGAGAATTTTTTGGTGTTATTATGTTTTTCAATTTAGAAGGTATTTGGGGTAGGTTACACCATCACCATGTAATAAACTTGTGTCTAAGGTTGAGTACAAGTTGCTACTAGCACTACGTTGTGATGGTTTTCCTTTCCACTTGTAAGTAGGTCTCTCTCTAAAGGGTTGCATACAAAGCCTAGGTGAAGCAACTTTTTTCCTTTTCCCAACTTAACTGGACATCTAAATGCTATTGATCCCAAAATTCAAGCTTGACGATTTCACTTGCTGAGCTTTGTTAATTAATCAAGCTGTCAATCCTTAATTACCCTTAGCCCCTCATTATATATTTCAAAATGATGTATAACATAGAGTGACATGGCTTAAATACCTTAGCTTGAGATAGGCAGGTGCTTGATTTTTGTAACCCTATGGTTGAAGGAAAGAAGAGAGAAAATCGGTTACAGTGGTTTGGACATGTGAAACGAAGGCCTATTGACGCTCTGGTTAGAAGATGTGATTATGGGACAGACGTTCAAGGCCGAAGGGGTAGAGGAAGACCTAGGAAAACTTTGGAAGAGACTCTAAGAAAAGACTTAGAGTACTTTGATCTAACGGAAGATGTGACACAGAACCGAGCGCAATGGCGTTCTAGGATTCATATAGCTGACCTCACTTAGTGGGAAAAGGCTTTGTTGCTGTTGTAAGGTTGGGTTCCAGATCAACTTAAATATAAAACAATCTCAATGCAATCTTGAACTTATGAGCAGCTCGAGTTCTTTGCAGCCATCCTGTGCCATTTGCTAGCGGAGTTTTAATGTTTTCATGAAGAGATCAAAGACCTAACTTGTCTGCAACATAGGAATATCGGCAAGAACTAGTTGCATTTCCCCAATTAATTTCTAATAATCTCGACCAGATTTGTTCTTTAAAAATGATTGTTTTTGTCTTCCTCTTCTTGGATACAATTTGGATTCTGGCTCCTTTAGTGTTGACTCAACTCTTAATCTTGTAGGTCCAAATTGAATAATTTTCATTGCTTTTCTTTGATGGATTATTAATTTGTTTTTATTTTTTATTCTGATACAGTGGTTAGAAACGGAGATAGTGAGACTCAGTCATCTTCGCGATCGAGCTAGTGAAAAAGGGCGCAGAAAGGAATATCCTTTACTTTTCATGTTTAATACATTTTTGTGCACAATTTTCTTGTGGGGGAGTGATTTTCTGCAGACCCTTACCTTCTAGTTCTACACACCCATATTAATTTTGGCCCTTGATTATCCTTTTTATTCAATCCAATGGCTAGAAAAAAAGACGGGTGTGCAAGAGGTGAAATATGATGTGCAGAAATCTTTTCCCTTTCCTTGGTGCGCGCTGTTTGAATGTGTTGGAACCTTATGCACTACTCTCTTTCCTGCAGTCTGAGCTATTTGGTGTAATTTTATATTTTCTTGCTCTATTCCAAGGCTGTGGCCTTCGATATAAGTTGACCTGTTTCTTATATTAGTGATTTCCAGAAAATTTAAAAACTTTATGTTGGTAAATGGCGGAAAGTGAACTCTCTTTTTCTCTCTCATTTTTTTTTTTTTTTCTCTGCTATGATTAGAAGTAATGAGTGAATTGTGAAGGGATACTTTAAACCAGTTGAGGTCTTCTTTTTCTTTATGTTTTATTTGATAGTTCCTTTTTCATTAGTTGATGCTGAAACACATTTTCTCTGATGATATAAAACAATCTTATTAATTTCTTGGAAAGAAAACCTTAGAACTAGTTTTTATATCTTTTTTAGAGGTGCTTATGTTCTATTTGGTGCTTTAAGATGACTAGGAATGGATATGCTGTAATCCTTAACTTCCTTTTCACGCTTAGAGAGTGTGTAGAGAAGTTGCAGCTTCTAAAGACACCTGAGGAACGCCAGCGTAGACTAGAGGAAACTCCAGAAATACATGCAGATCCAAATATGGACCCGAGTTATGAATCTGAGGAGGAGGAAGACGAAGGAGATGATAAGAGACAAGGTCCCATTCAATTTTTTTTTAATTTTTTTGGAAAATTTTATACCTTTAATTTTGTAGTGCTATTTTCTCTGTCATTAATTCAATCATAGGTTTTTAACTGGAATGATAGTATAATCCAACCATTACTTCAATCATTGATAACATAGCCTTCAATCCATGCAGATAGTTACACTAGATCTACAGGTTCTGCCTTTGGAAGGAAGGGGAGGGATCCAATCTCTCCACGAAGAGGAGGATCTTCTTTTAACGATTCCTGGAGTGGGACAAGGAATTATTCCAATCCGAATCGGGAGTTAAGCAGGAATATGTCGAATAAGGGATTCTACAACAAAGCAGAAAATACAACTGGAGCTGGTGAGATAGTGAACGATTCATGGGGTCAAGGAAGAGACAGAGAAACACTGAAAACAAACCAATGGGAGAAGAAACAAAATATTTCAAGTTTAGAAACAGGTGTTAGGAGTACGCAGTCTATGGTACCATCTGAATCATCTCCTGGTGGTGGCTCGGGAAATTCAGTGGCACATTTCTCCACTGGCATATCGCAATCTACAGCCACCATCAATGATGCAGAAAAAATATGGCATTACAAAGATCCTTCTGGGAAAGTTCAGGGACCATTTTCCATGACACAGCTGCGCAAATGGAACAGCACTGGCTATTTTCCTGCCAACTTGAGAGTTTGGAAAAACACTGAGAAGGAAGAAGATTCTATCCTGGTAACTGATGTATTGGCCGGAAAGTTCCAGAAAGACCCTTCACCGGTTGACAGTAGTTTTCTAAAGGCCCAAATGGTGCAAGATTCACATCTCACACCTGCACATTCTGGGAAGCCTCAAGGAGGTCTCTTTCAGCGGGGTACAGAAGGCCAAGCTGGAGGAGGAAGTTGGGGGTCTCAAAACGAACTTAATCCTTCCTCAGGCAGGGGTACTCCATCATCAGTGGAGGTCCCCAAGTATTCTTCAGATGGGTGGAGCACAACAAACTTTCCCTCGCCTACTCCATCCCGAACTCCATTAGGTGGGGCAAGGGGTCAAGCTTATGAAAGTAATTGGTCACCCACCCCTGTTCATCCAACTGGCTCCATCTTGGGTGGCAATGGAGTGCCGCAACCTAGTACGGTAGCTACTCCAGAAAGTGCACTGCGAGTTTCACTTTCTGGAAATGATCGTTCAAGCTCTCTTCATGGCATTAATGCAGCACCCAAGTCTGAAGGTGGTCCACTTCTGGGCTCCACAAATAGTCTTCAAATGCAGAGTCAAGTAAATGCTTCAATGAATCAAGTGCCAGACGTGAAAAATCTTGTTTCAAATCTGCAAAATCTGGTTCAGTCTGTGACTAGTCGTTCACCCGGTGGTGATACTCAAGGATGGGCTTCTGGTTCAGTTCCAAAACAGGAAATGACTGGTTCAGGCCCAGTATCTGGGAGTGAAACTCAACACTGGACAGGTGCTCCATCCCAAAGGATAGAACCAATTAGTGCTACTACCATGCCTACACAACATCCGGCCCATGGTTACTGGAGTAATGCTCCATCTACCAACAATGCTACCCCGTCTATTAATACAGGAAATGCAGCTGGAAATTTCCCTTCATCAGGCTTCTCTGGTGTTCCCCAGTCTGATCCTTGGAGACCCCAAGTTCCGGCTAATCAATCATACATTCAGCCTCCAGCACTATCACCCCAGTTACCTTGGAGCATGGGTGTTCCAGATAACCAAAGTTCTCTGCCAAGAACGGGGCAAGAGAATCAAAACGCAGGTTGGGCGCCAATTGGGGAAGATCCAAACATGGCCTGGGGAGGACAAGTGCCGGGAAATACAAACATGAATTGGGGAGCTCCGGGACAGGGTCCAGGGTGGGCTGGGCCTGGTCAAGGTCCAGTACCTGGAAATGCAGCGCCTAATTGGGTCCAACCTGCTGCTCAAGGACCGCCTGCAAATCCTGGTTGGGCTCCATCTGGTCAAGGGACAGCAGTTGGGAACACCAATCCTGGTTGGAGTGGACAAACTCAGAATGGAGGAGATAGGTTCTCAAATCAAAGGGATCGTGGCCCACATGGCGGAGATTCTGGTTATGGTGGTGGCAAGCCCTGGAATAGGCAGTCGTCATTTGGTGGTGGTGGTGGTGGCGGCGGCGGCGGTGGGGGAGGAGGTTTGTGGAGAACTACTTCAAAAGTGTGCAGGTTCTTTGAGAGTGGTCACTGCAAGAAGGGCGCAGCGTGTGATTATCTGCACCCGACCAGTAAGAATTTTGGGAACACATAGCAGCAGCTGTACAGTAAATTTCCGATTAAATAGTTTTGACTTTTGCATAAGCCCTTTGTTTTGTTAATCTTCTAGTTACATAACTAGGGCAGTTTAGTTTAGTGTATTCAGCTCTTTCATCAAAAGCCTTATTATTATATGGTATATTTTCTTCTTTTCCTTTTAAATCCTAGTACCCTATAGTTTCTTCATACAACTCAGCATTGTGATCGGAGCCAGCAAGACGGCATGTACACCATTTCCAGTCCGGTGGTCCGGTGGTCCGTTGTAGGGTTTGTTTACACGTTTTTCTGTGTGAGGCATTTCCTCTTTAACGACATTTCCTTTTAAACTCCTATAAGACAAATGTTTGAGTGAGTGATTTTATAGTCCCAAGAAACTTAGGTCAAGTTAGTAAGAAATAAATCATGAATGCTCCGTGTAGACATAAAAAATGAAAGGAATGCGCAAATCTTTATTTGCAATGTGTCATTTACAACTCGGGTGAGTGAAAGAGAAAAACTTATACGACATAAGTAAACCGTCGTAGTAACGTTCGTGTCATATAAGTTTATAAAAATTTACACGTTTTGCCGCTTATTTTGGGACCGTAGGATCAGCACCGAATCGTGGAGGACAATCTAGTGCAGATGACAAGGACGGAAGTGAAAAAACTGAATCAACAAAACAACACCAGAGAAACAGAGAGCGAAGAAAGGAGAGAGCGACAAATAAATAGCAGATGGAGAAATGATATGATTCTCAACCGAATCATTGATTCGATTCCTGAGATAATAATCTGAAAATCTTTGTTAGAGATAGAGAGAGAAATGGATAAGAACGGCGAAGGCGGAGATGGAGAAATCCCAATCCAAAAACCTAACCCCAATCCTATTCTCGGCGGAAGCGGAGGCGGAGGAGGGTCATCGACCAAGGGAAAGTCATGCAAGGGTTGCCTCTATTACTCCTCCACCCAGAAATCCAAATCCAAATACCCCACCTGCGTCGGCTTCTCCAAAACTCTCCAACAAGGTTCTCTCTCTCTCTCTCTCTCTCTCTCTCTCTCTCCAAATTGAGGAATGAATTTGATGGTTTTGTTAATCCAATCACCCAGAAATCAATTCCTGGTGCTTTTAGTTCTGCTACAACATTTACAGGCTCATTTGATGCTTATATTTTTCGTACTGACAAGCAAAGGCTGTGTCTTTATGGAGTATTTTATAGTTAATTTGATGATTGTATCTTTTCGGGTTTTCAATTTTTCGTCATATATATTGAGAGACCATCTGAAATTTTATATTTGTTTTTATGCATCAACAAGATTAAGATATGTTCTTATTTATGGTTTTATATGCCCAGTTCCGAGCTACATTGTGGGAGAAACTGAATTGGAGGCGTCTAAAGCAGACCGGACGCTTGCCGATTTTAAATATGCCTGCGTTGGTTATTCGGTCTTCTTAGACAGAAAAGATACTCCTGCTAATCCACATAATAAACAAGCAGAATTGCCGTTTTGTGTTGGTCTCGAGGTGTTATATCTTGACTCTTATTTCTTTTTCCTTGTTTCTCTAATTGTAAAACTCATTTTACATATAATTTTACACTTGAAGACTGTTCGAAATTTATCTGGTGGAATATCATCACTTTATTATGTAATATCCTTATGTTTAAGTTAAAAGTCTAGTTACATTGATACTTCATGATATTCATACATTTATGCTTACAATCTTCTCATTAACTCGGTTGATATGTGACATAATGAGCTTGTGTCAGGTACTGTATGACAAAAAACCTGCTGGCCATACGCATGCTCCGGCTCCTGCTCATAATACTGAAGGTATATCAAGCTTTTCTTTTTATGTTTCTTTTAACTTTGTTAAGGAGGAGGGGGAATGTCAATAAGGTCTTGATTCCATCAATATTGAACAAATACATCTCTCCCATGGGGCACTTAGTTTCTGATACTAAAATGTCTCATGTTCTAAACCCGTCCTGCAAATGAAATGCATGCCAAAATTCTTGTTAATTAGATTAGTGATGTGACGTTATTTGTCTGCATATACCATGTGTGTGTGTCTCTCTCTTCTCATTATGAAGAGCTCAACTTAGAAAATGTGCAGTGTGATTTTATTGCATTCTCGAAGGGTATGTTTGGTTACCATCAGAATGAATTTTCTCAGTTTTGTTCTTTATTTTGCTCTATAGTTTCTCGCTTGATGTATAAAGTTAGATATATAATTGCTCTAAAAATCCCCGCCTAGCGCCGCCTAGTCACCGCCTCGATTAATCCCTAGGCGTTTGAAAATTAAGAAAGGGCGCCTAGAACTGCTAAGGAGTCCGCCTAGCGCACCTAGCCGTCCGCTTAGCCCGCCTAGACCCGACTAGGCACCCGTCGAGGTTGCGACTCTCACTTATACAAAAAATTGATAACTTTCATTTTGCAATTTATTTTTTCATTAAAATGTAACAGACTTGTTGAATATTCGAATGAACACTCATTATATACTTGCTCCTCATGTTCTCAATATATTTTAATAATTTATAATTTATATGCTGTTTTATTTCGCAATTTATGTATCTCAATACAATTATGTATCTTTTTTTAAGTATAAATAGGCACTTATTTATATGATATGTTATAAATTTGCTTAAATTTGCCTAAGCCCCGTCTAGCCGCCTAGGAGCTAGGCCCCAGCCCACCGCCCAACTGGCCTAGCGTCTTTGAGAGCTTCTTATTGTGTCTATGTAGAATATCCAATAACTCCTTGCCTCACTTCCTAACAGTCGATGGTTTTGGGATAGTGGTAAATCAACAAACTATATCATGGTATTAGAGTCACAAACTGTAGGTCACCTTAATAGATATAAGAACTCGTGAATCCTGATCACCAAAAGAGGGACCCCATGTTGCATGTGTAATCACCCAAAAGAGGTGATCCGCCTGAGGGGGAGTGTTTCACACTGTACCACATTGATTGGGCTATGTATCCAATAGAGCTACATTCACATTAGGTCTCCACTGAACAGCTTTAATGTTTGGGAATGGTTATAAACTGGTAAACTTTACCAAAGAACGAGATCCTGAGTTTGTATCCCTATAATTGCAACTTCAATATATATTGATTTCCACAAGAGAGACCAACATGTGATGGGGAGTCTTAGAAGAATATGAAATAATCGATTAGTTCATATGCTAACAGCTTATGCTTCTTACTGGTGTTTCTGGTGAAGCAGCAAACTTTTTCAATACGTGAATACTAATTGTCAAATTGATTTGAATATTCTTGTAGCATTTACAGCAATCTTGTTGATAACTTTTTATGTCTCCTCTCCAGAAAACGGTCGGCCTATTCCTCAACCTCGAACCTACAAACCAGCACATTCAGCAGGAGATGAATACCTCCGCAGGTAAGGCAGAAACTCGACTTAGCAGTGAATATGAGTTATCACTTGTCAATGACTTTTTTCACATGGTTTATTAATTTAATTTCTGGTCTTGTTTATTATCCTTCACCTTATAGTTCAAAAACTTTATATTTATATGTGCAGGTTTAAGAGGAATGCAGTACTAGTAGCATCAGGTGTTGCTAGAAATGTGAATAGAGTGGGCAACTACGTGAAACAGAGTGTGGATGACATTCTATACCCTTACCGTAGAAGGCCCAAGTAACAACTCTTCCTTTTATTGCAGAAATAATTTCTATACCCTTCATTCCCTCGCTCTCTTTTTTTTTTAATAACAATATAATCATCCGGCGAAGGGACGGGTTTTTTACAGCGGAAATTTGTAATAATAGGGGTTGTAGGTCTGCCATGGTTACACCTTGTTTCAACATTTGTAATCACAAATACAAGACTAGCATGGTTGGTTGAAAAATTTCTCGTGTAACGGTTGGCATTGCTTTCTCTTTTTGTCGGATTTAGTTTGTTTAGAAAACAAATGTATTGAGCTGTAATCCCATGCTAACCAAGTTTCTACGCTAAGGGCACGTTTGATGTCTAGGATTGGATTGAATTAGATAACCGATGGACGGAAGGTATATTGAAAGGTCAACTTTAAAATTTTGTTTAAATTGACTGTAGAAGTCGGAAGGTAAATTTATCCTTTTGCAGCTGTTTGCCTGCAAGTGTGGAAATTATGCCTCGTTTGATTTCTAATTTCTGGGATTGGATTGGAGCAGATAACCCGAATGAATATTGAAAGCGTAAATGATATTCATTTGAGAAGATTAGAAGGGAATTTTTTTGCATCAATCAATGTTACTAAATTTACTATAGGGGAAGAGGGGCAGTTTGTATCCAGAAAGTAGTGGGCTGAAGAGAAATGTCCTAGTCATTGTGTCAATTCTATCCAATTGAGAAACAACATCGATGAAAGGGGGTTTAGACTTAGAAGAAAACGTTTATCTATCCAATTGAGAAACAACGTCGATGAAGGCATGTAGGTGCACTATTACGTGGTAGGGGTTGTAACTTTCTATGAATTTTTCATTTCTCACTCAACGACAGAACTTTACTTATTTCTTTTTCCTCTTATTTTAAAGATGATTGGAATGATAAGTTTATTTGATGAGTAATCGTTCTTCTACCTTGAAGTTGGACTCAAAAAGCTATAGCTAAACAGCTGCATAGAATGTCATTGGCTGAGGTTTATCCTTTCACCTTCTACCGACATCATAGTTTGCATTGCGCAATTGCTAACGCATTCTAATCTCACAATGTCCATTTCTCAACCACTTCAATTAGCTAGTTATATTATTTGCTTATCTACGTGTCAAAGGGTCGGCAAACTTTTAAGGGTTTTCGTCTAAATGCAACCGTCATTTGTTGAAAGCTATGCTATTGATTTATATTATCTTTCGTGTAGAAGGAAGGAACCGAACTCAAAATTTTATTTCAACGGTCATTTGTTGAAAGCTATGCTCCTATTTATATTATCTTTTGTATAGAAGAGTGGAATCGAAATCAAGATATTTATTCCAACATTAGGGAAGGAAAAAAAAAAAATTACCTAGACCAATAGTTAGTTGATAACAATATTGTTAATTTGAGCTTTGTATCATCACAATATCAAATTAATATGTTACCACCTAATGGAACAGTTTATGAACCCTACAAATTTAATTTTTTAGGATATAAACCAATATTCTATATGATGAAGTCTTTGTGTGATCAATATTGCATATCAAGTTCATCAAATTATGTTGTGAGATCATAAATTTGGTATAAATTTACGAAAGATTCATCTTGATCAATAACCTCAATCCATTATCTAACACCATAAGCGTCTTAGCTTACTACTATTTTGCTATATAGTTTGACGAAAGATGTTTTTCCAGGACTTCAACAGTCCAACATTAAAAGTACATCGCCACTTGTTTGTCAGGGAAGAGATCCCCTTCAGATCTCTCCCACCAAGTCCTAGAGATCCGGACCCTTGAAATTTGATCTAACTACTACAATTATTATAATTTTTAGAATAACCTCTTGTTTGTGGCCGTTGAATCAAATTTTAAGAATCCGGATCTTCGGATCCTTAGGATTTGGTGGGAGAGATCTGGATGGGATCTTTTCCCGTTTTGTCTTCGAAAAACTGACTAAAAGATACAAGGCTGAGCCACAAAGGACAGAAAGGCAACAAAGGTTAACAAACAACCACGCATATATTTATATTAAATATTAACGACATAGCGATATTACAAAATTAAAAATGATTATTACAATAATGGATAATGCTTACATACTCTCCTTGGGATTGGGAGACGAGGTCATTCCTCCAGTTGCAAACAACGTATCTTTAACATAGATTTTTTTTTTTTTTTTTAATAATTAGAACCGTTCAATCTCTTAATCTTCATTTTAAGATCATCCCTCCAAAAAATCATTTGAAGGTGATCGTTTAGCCATCCAAATATATCAAATAAATCATAAGTGTAGGTATCAAGTAACATATTCATGAAGAACCGTTGATTTATTTATACATTTGGATGATGAAACAATCAAAAATTCAAATTATTTTTTGTAAGGATGATCTTCAAATGAAGATGAAGATATTGAACTGTTCCAATTATGAAATTTCTATGTTGAAGATATTGTTATTTGCAATAGAGGAATAATGAGCTCGTCCCCCATGGGTAAAGCAATAGTATTATCCAATTGGTAAAGAGAGACCAAGAACATAACCAACCCTTATTAGTTAAAGTACCTTTACATAGAGAAATTTACTCATCGATCACTGATTTAAAACCAAGTAATATTTCATCATCATCGTCTCCTCGTCTACTTGAAACTATTAATTCAAAGGGGGCAATTCAACCTGTAAGTTGGCACAGCAACAAGCTGAACCGCTTTTGGTGCAGTCAGTCCAAACACATCATTCATGTCAAGCTCACTAGGCTTCATCCCACCGGGCAACTCCCATGCAAAACAATGAAGCAGATGAGCCACAGCCATCTCCAACCCATACAGCCCCAACGCCATTCCCGGGCACGACCTCCGACCAGACCCAAAAGGAATAAACTCGAAGTTACTCCCTTTGAAATCAGGCGAGACATCGTCCAGAAACCTCGAGGGTTTGAATGTTTCTGGCTCGTCCCATGCAGTCGGGTCACGAGCAATAGCCCATGCATTGATCCAAACCCGTGACCCGGCTGGGAACGAGTAGCCAGCCACAGAGGTGTCTTCCACGGTCTCGTGTAGGAGGAGAGGGATTGGCGGGTGGAGACGGAGGGATTCTTTGACTGCGCATTTGAGGTAGGTTAGGTTTTCGAGGTCGGTTTCCTGGAGCCTACGGTTCAATCCAACAACATCAGTGAGCTCTTGTTGTACTCTTTTGAGATCTTCTGGGCTCTTCATCAGCTCTGCCATTGTCCATTCGATCACTGATGCAACCGTTTCTGTTCCACCAAACATCACATCCTACGTATATATGGGATAATCGTATTATTTAGTACTAAATCAATCGGAAATGATAAATATAGTAATAATTAAGTACATGAATTCCTTATCAGAATAGTTTTCTCTCCTAATTCCTTACAAAAATAGTTAACAACAAATACTTAAAATCAGATTTGTTTCTTAAAAATTAATAAAGTGCATTTATTGTTCTAACTTAACCACTTATTGCTATGTGTTTGAATTTTATCATTAGAAAATCTCGATGATATTAGAAGTATATCTCTCACACATAAAAATTGTATATTATTTTTGTTTTTCTCCGATGTGTGACTATACACCAACAAATATAACGTGTTAAGAAAATTTTAATTGTCAAATATACATACCATAATAAGTGCTTTGATATTGTCTCTGGTGAGCTTGCAGCCAGAATTGGGGTCGTCACCTTCCTTTCCAGCATCATCACTAAAGTAAGCTATCAATTCGTCCACCATATCTGTATCAGCAGCCTCACTGTCATCCTTATTCTCCATGTTTGCTTTCCTCTTAGCCATGTGGTCGTCGATGATCTTGTCGATGAAAACATCTAGTGATTTACGTGCCCTAGCCATTCTGTCCTGAAAACCCTGTGCATGAACCCAACCCAACCATGGCAGAAAATCCTGCATGTTAAAAGCTCCAAAAAGCTTTGAAAATTCTTGCAAAATCTTCACAAATTCGCCTTGCCCTTCATGTGATCTTGACCCAAAAGCCGCCCGATATGTTATGTTCCTCGTTAGAGCGAAAACCAACTGCCCGATATTCACCGGGGAGCCGGTTTTTCCCGCCACGGTTTGGACCATCTCATTGACTTCCTCGCGCACCGAAGCCCATGATTCAGCCCGTTTTCGGCTAAATAGATTAATGACGCAAATTTTGCGCATGCGACGCCAGAACGGGCCGTAGTTGGCAAAGGCCATGTCCGCCCGATCGTAGGTCAAGTAAGATAGGGCAACGTTGGCAGGCCGGTTGGCGAATGAGCTGTCTTGGACTTGGAGGATTTCGCGGGCCGTATCAGGAGTTGATACTGCAATAATATGTATAGCCCCCATCTGGAGATGGAGGAGACCGCCATATTGCTTGGCCAAATGGGCCAAGCCACGGTGGGTAAGTTGGTCCGTCATAAGCATGTTGCCGATGATGGGCCACCCTTTTGGGCCTGGCGGATATGGGAGTTTCCGGCGGGAATTAAACAGGAAAATCAAGGAAATGACGAGGAGAAGAAGAAGAATAAGCAACATGGGTGAAGATTGCAGGGATTGAAGAGCTTGGCGAAGGAGTTCCATGGCGTTGGTTGTGTTGGGAAAATGGGGTTGGTGAGGTTCGTATAAACAATGAGAGTTCTTATATAATTGATAAGGGATCTGCAGCCTTTAATGAGGAATGCACTAATGTGGGAAGTAATAACTGGCGACTTTGGTGGTGATATCTGCTATGTATTTTATCTTGCAAACGTCACGCGTTGTTTTGTGTATATTGCCAATGGGAATTTTGGATCCACTTGTCTGGAAACAGATTATACCCTATAGTTAATTAAGGAAATAATTGACTTTTTACAAAAGAAGGAAGAATAATTTGAATTCTTACCATTTTTGTCAAATATGCTAACTAGGCTAAAAGACATTAGATGCTCTCTAAGGGAAATGTCATATATGACGTTGCTTTCTAGTTGTCTTTTTTCACCGCAAATAAAGATAGACTTATATGGTTTGAATTTAATTTTATAATGCATGAGTGTTGTTGACAACTAATATCAATTTAAATTTTTTTTTAATAATTAAAGTAACTATAGGATGGTTAGGACCAATATATTTATAAAATAAATATTTGACACATAAGATTGTAGGTACTTAGGTCATCAATTATATATAGAAACGCAGAGGTCACTATTCTTTTTAAAGCAGTGTGATGCTAGATCTGTTACAGGGTTATAGCTGCTATGGTCGTCGATGATCTTGTCGATGAAAACATCTAGTGACTTACATGCCCTAGCCATTCTGTCCTGAAAACCCTGTGCATGAACCCAACCCAACCATGGTAAAAAATCCTGCATGTTAAAAGCTCCAAAAAGCTTTGAAAATTCTTGCAAAATCTTTCACAAATTCGCCTTGCCCTTCATGTGAGCTTGACCCAAAAGCCACCCGATATGTTATGTTCCTCGTCAGAGCGAAAACCAACTGCCCGATATTCACCGGGGAGCCGGTTTTCCCTGCCACGGTTTGGACCATCTCGACTTCCTCGCGCACCGAAGCCCATGAGCCCGTTTTCGGCTAAATAGATTCACGAACGCAAATTTTGCGCACGCGACGCCAGAACAGGCCGTAGTTGGCAAAGGCCATGTCTGCCCGATCATAGATCAAGTAAGATATGGCAACATTGGCTGGCCGGTTGGCAAATCAGCTGTCTTGGGCTTGGAGGATTTCGCGTGCCATATCAGGAATTGATACGGCCATAACATGTATGACCCCCATCTGGAGATGGAGGAGACCGCCATATTGCTTGGTCAAATGGGTTAGGCCACGGTGGGTAAGTTGGTCCGTCATGAGCATGTTAGCGATGATGGGCCATCCTTTTGGACCTGGCAGATATGGGAGTTTCCGGCGCGAATTAAACAAAAAAATAAAGGAAATGATGAGGAGGAGAAGAAGAAGAATAAGCAACATGGGTGAAGATTGCAGGGATTGAAGAGCTTGGTGAAGGAGCTCCATGGCTTTGGTTGTGTTGGGAAAATGGGGTTGGTCAGGTTCATATAAAACTATGAGAGTTCTTGATATAATTAATAAGGGATCTGCAGCCTTTAATGAGGAATGCACTAATGTGGCAGTGGGAATTTTGGATCCACTTGTCTGGAAACAGATTATACCCCAGTTAATTAAGGAATTAATTGAATTTCGACAAAAGAAGGGAAGAATAATTTGAATTCTTACCATGTCTAAAGGAGATGTCAAATATGTTAACTAGGATTAAAAGATATCATGGTATTCTCTAAAGGAGATGTCATATATGACATTTTTTACCACAAACAAAGATGGAGTCAAATGCCTTAATTTAATTGTTTAATTCATGAGTCTCATTGACAACCAATAGGATTAAAATTGATTTTTAATTATTGTTTAATAATTAATGTAATTATGGGACCAAATATATTAATAATAAAATAAATATTTGACACATACGATTGTAGGTATTTTGTCATCGATGAGATACAGAAACTCAGAGATCACTATTCTTTTTACAGCAGTGTGATGCTAGATCTGTTACAGGGCTTTAGCTGCTATGGTCATGGCAATTTGATGTGAGAACGAACAATTAGTAAACTGAATGGAGCAAGAAAATGTTGATTCACAGTTGACCTTGTTTTGCTTCCCTTCTGCTATATTTGAGAGGCAAAAGAGGAATAATGATATTGTATCAATGCATGGTTGCGGATAAATCCCAGTTGCCCTTACTTTGAGCCCCTGGTGACCCGTGATGAAAGAGATAGATCACTTTATTTATGATGGATTGCAGAGTTCTCTCGCCACTGGGGCAGCTCTAGTTTTCTGTGATCATACCTTGTACCCCTAAATGTCAAAATTTTCCGACACGAGTTCTCAGATCAGTCAATGAAAGCTATGCTGAACAAGTGTATCCTTTATGTACCAACTGACGAAGGCGCAATGCTTGGGCAGAGAAGACGACGACTTGAATATATCCCTTGTCCGCATTGTCCCCAGGCCACTTGAATATATGTATTAATTTGCTATGTAAGTGAAACTATGACCTTTTATTTTTATTTTTGGTAATTCAATGGGGATAAACAGGTAAGTGGTGGATTGTCTAGTGTGTCGTTAAGTGAAGAAAAGGGGGCTAAACAGCCTCAACCAACTGACTTTCTGTCAAAGAAAGATCGAAACGCAGCGGAATAATTAGAAAAGCCTTAAACCTGAGTCTAAAACTTAAAACACACCAAGAACACAATCTCTAGAATCATTACAATTTACAACAGAGTAGACATGAGGTGACTTATGACGCTGAAATCGTCTTACGTTGGTGTGACAAGTTTGTGCAGGAACTTTGAAGTGACTGCGTAAAATTTCATTGACTGCACCTGATTGAATGAATTTTCAAAAGTCATTGTGCTAAACACATGTTCACTATTCAAGAGTCATCCATCAAGTCCTCAGTTGCTGAGTTGAACTAACATGATCAAATCTTCGAACTGTTTTGAAACACAGGAGGGCTGAGCAGGGGGGAAACTTCGGTGCAAACAGTTATCACGCGGTGTATGAGCGTCGCGTAATTTGAGAGAGAGAAAATTGGATAAATAGCAAGTTACACAGTAAAATCCTCCCGTGAATACTCTTGTAGTCACATGTTCGTTTGATGCATACAGTAAAATCATATGATTGAGTCGAGAGAAGTAAAACTTCGATGCATATATATAACACCATAAGAAATTTAAATCCAGATTCAAACATCACCGAATCCATAGTTACAACACAGAAATTACGAATTTTTAAAAATTAAACACAAAACTAAAAAATAGGATAATCAAACTCAGAACTTTGGGCACACGGATAAATATATTCTATTTGACCTATAAGTCCCTTGCTAGGATGTGGAATCCCAAACACATCTTTGTGGTGGCTGGAGTACCGGAATGTCACACCGAACAGCAATGGCAAGAATTTTTTGAAGCTCATGCGCATCTAGAGCAGCTGCGATCCGAGCGGAACCAGGCCAGGTTTTAGGGTGATCTGCCAGCTTAAACAAACACAAGTTCAACATGTCCGCCTCATCACATACATCAACAACTTCCATATTCATGAGTGCCGACGCCTTCTCGTTGGCTAACTTAAGTTCTTCTTGTCTCCTCATGTCCTCCAGCAGGGGATGATCAGCCATCTGCTTATGAATAGCGTACTCTCTCAAAGTACGAAGCGAAACTGGTACAGCTTGTGTTGCATCCATTCTAGGGTTCAGAAAATAATTAATAACATTTAATCAGTAACCTTATTTTGATTCAAATAAACAATTAAATTCCTGAAAATTTGAGTAAAACCAAAATCTATACCAATTACATAAAACAAAGAATTCACCATGTATGCCAAGTTAACTGATTTAGTCTAGGGTTTTTGCAATATATATTAACAAGAAACTTTTATATACAACGCAAAATATCCTTGTTCATACTATAAAATTAGCATTAAGACATTTAACAGAATAAAAATTGAACATACATACCTCTTATATTTTGGCGCTAGAGAGTTTCTTAAACTTCAACTTTCAGTTGTCCGATATGATGCAGAAATATTGAGTTAGTTGATTTCATTCGTAGATGGGTAAACCCTCTATATATACATCACAAACCTTGGCTTCAAGGATTAGGATTCCTTGGAAAGTGTGGAGAGCTAATTTACGTTTAATTATAATACTTGTAGAACAAGGTTTCCTAGCTAGGGCTTTATTCTATCGGATACCTTATTCCATCGTGAGACCAAATAGAGGAAAAAATAGTAAACAGGTGGTGGCGAAGAAGGCGAACGGAAAGAGTGGTCAAGGGGAAAGGCTTAGGGTTTACCACAAAAAATATATGGCGATCGAGTTTTGTATTTATTTTAGGCCTTTTTTATTGACACCCCACAATGTTACGAATACACCCTATTTTCTTTTATTTGGTCTGAATTTCCTTTTTTACCCTAATTTAAATTAGATAAAAACAAACAAACAAAACCAGCACCACCTTCATCATCTGAAAACCTACTCCTTCTCGATAGCCCCCCACCATGGCACCTCCATTAACAAAATGATCTCAAATATACCAAAACATATGCCGACTTACAATCAAACTAGCCAATAGTCTCATAGAAAGTCAATTCCTAGTTGACACAGAAGGATTGCTTCTCTACAAGTAGCATTTTTCAAATTTTCCACGGCCATCAAGTTGGTATCCCTGATTAGGCTGATATCGACATTATAAAATTCAATTTTATGGTATTTCATGTCTTGCAAAATATTAGCGGAAGTGAGAATTCTATAGAGAGAGAGAGAGAGAGAGAGAGAGAGAGAGAGAGAGAGAGAGAACGGCAAGAAAGGGGGTGGCTATCATTGGCCAACACCAACAAGGAAGGTGGCAGAAGGGTGAGCAATTGAGATAGGATGTTAGAAGGTTTTAATTTCTTAACTATTATAAAAAGGTGGTCTAAAACAATGAAAGGGCTAATATTGGAATTTTAAAGAATAATTTTGAAATTGGGGTGTACTCGTAAAATTATGGGGTGTTAATCAAAACACCCTTTATTTTATTATTATTATTTTTTACGGATAACACCAAAGGAAACGTGGGGGGAACAAATTAATTTAGGATGAATAAACAAATAAAACTAGTAACAACACACTTCCTCTTTCCTTTCAGTCAAC